TCCTCTTCCTTCTTCTTCTGAGTATTAGTATATCCTGCCTTTCTCTTGATAGTATCAGTGATAAGTTGGGTGTGGTTCAATCTCCTGATGGTGCCTTTCTCCTGATAGTGTCAGTGATGAGTTGAGTGTGGTTCAGTCCAGGTAGGGTAGATGTGCTGCAGACAGGGACATGTTGTTTGTTCTGGATGAGGACATAGGAAGGACCTGCTGGATTAGACCCAGGGGAGCGTTCTAGTTCAGCATCCGGTTTCACACCATGGCCAAGTAGTTGCCCTGGAAGGCCAACGAACAGGGCATAGAAGCGTGACATTCCCCTATAAATGATCAGACTTGTAATTTTGGGTCTGGGGTTGCTTTGGAATCCCACTTGGTTAGCCCTGACTTGGATAGCCCAGGCAAGCCCAGGCTTGGCAAATCTCGGGAACTAAGCAAGGCTGACCTTGGCAAGTACTTGGGTGGGAGACCTCGAATGAATACCAGGGCCAGGACGCAGAGGCAGGCAACATCAAGCCACCTCTCTGAACATCCTCCATGCCCCAGAAGGAGTCGCCAGAGGTCGCCATGACTTCTAGGCATGGGTGCACACACACACACACACAAAAATGCAAAAATACAAAAAAATCTCACCCTGTTATAGTGCTGTAGCAATTACTGGGTTTCTTGTACACTTAGATTCAAGTTGAGTAGTACCTTAGAGACCAAAAAGAGTTTCAGGGTGTAAGCCTTTGAGAGTGAAAGCTCGCTTTGTCAGATGAGCGGAGTAGATTCTTTGTTAAAAAAAAGTGCCCGCTGGTTGGTGCTGCTGGGAAAATGGCAGGTATGAGGGGGAGGTACAAGGACATGGTGCTGACGTGGGTGGACCTTTGAAAATGTACACACCTTACTGTCCGAACAGCACAATTATGCACTCTTCCTGAAAAAGATTATACGGGGAGGTACAAGGACATGGTGCTGACGTGAGTGGACCTTTGAAAATTACACACCTTGCTGTCCGAACAGCACAATTATGCACTTGGATCGCGCTCTTCCTGAAAAAGATTATATGGCAGGTGGGAAAGAAAATGCACTGTGGATGCGGAAAGGGCAATTGCAGAACTACATTGTGTAGAGGCTCCCCCGCCCAAAAAACACTCCAGTCTGGACACCCAAGTGCAGAAAAACCTTGACGTGGAAGCAGCCCTAGATAATATTTACCAGTCATTTTCAAACCAGTTCCATGTTGTCTGCTGAGGACCCGTGAATATGACTAATAATTCTGGGACATGCTTTAGGGTACATTCTCAGTTCATGTTAGACTAGAAATAGGGCCTGTTGTGGAAATAAATACAACGAGCTCTAGAAAGAGGCTCTGAGCGGGTGCACTCAGCATCAATTTGCTGTGGTGACCTCAGCGGAGTATAATGACACAGAGGTTACCGTTTTCTCCAGGGGAACTGATCTCTGCCATCTGAAGAGCAGTTGTAATTCTGAGTGATCCCCAGCCCTCCCCTGGAGATTGGAAACAATGGTTCCCCAGGAGGAAATGGCTGGTTTGGAGGGGGGAGTCCCTGGCATTGTACCTGAGGTTCCACCCCTCCTCAAACCCCACTCTCTCCAGGCTCCACTCCTCAAATCTCCAGGAATTTCCCAACCCAGAGGTGGCAACCCTATTTTCTTCCCAGCCAACTATCAATGTACCAGTATCTGCCTCTCTGACTTCATGTTTCCATCTCTAGAAAAGAAAAGGATGCGGAGTTCTGACTGCAGAGTCACCCCTGAATGGCTATAAAACAGCCATAAATCTATGCAGACGGCTACCATAAAACCGGGAGATCAAACAAAGTGAAAGCAGCATTCAGTATGGACAGTGCCATAAAATTTGAGGATCAGTCAAAGTGGCAGTGGCATGCAATTGTAGAGGGGAATTTCTGTTCCAGTGTGGGTTTAGTAAAACAGTGGAGTAAATGCTAGATGCAGATTGGGCCAACAATTGCTAGGCCAATAAAAACTTAAACTCTGGGGCTTCAACTCTCTACTCTAGACCATCTGAAGGACCCAGCTTCTTCCTCCTTCAAAGTAGGGTCCGTTCTGGGCCACTGCAATTCATCATCTGCAGGAGAACAACGTGTGAGTCCAGTGGCACCTTTAAGGCCAACAAGGCTTTGTTCAAGGCCTGAGCTTTCATATGTAAGCACACTTCCCACCAGCTCCCTCCTGGGTTCTTTCTCCCAGCCCAGCTGGCTCTATCACCCCCTGCAGGGTTTGCATAAAGTGAAAGCAATACAATGCAATGGTAAAATACTTTCAAGTCTGTCCTGTTTGCAAATGGAGATCACAGTTAATTACATCAAAGACCAGATTTGTCCTGTGGGAAGTTATTTTCTCACCCTTGCTTTACCTAAGCTTCCCGATAACTGCATTTACAAAATGGGTTACCAGCTAGCCACTAATCCGAATGGATGGCAGGTATCCCGATCCCTGGTAAATACGATTAAAAAAAAACACCTCTAGAGGCCGTTAGTGCAATCACTGAACTAGATTCAAATCCAAGAGATGAATAACACTTAGTAGTAATAACTCTAAGAGATTGGAGAGCTACCAATGAGTTGTGTGGGAGTAACGAACGATGGAAGTGAACGGTGCCATCCTAAGTAGAGTTACACCTTTCTAAGCCCATTGACTTTAATGGACTTAGAAGGCTTTGACTGAGCTGAGGACGGCACTGTTAATAGCTCAAGTTTGCAAACAGGCTGAACAGAAGCAGGCCTTGATATTGTCACCGTGGTTTAATCCAGGTATAGAACTGTAGGATGTAGGGAACGAACACAGTTCACCCGGGCACTTGCATCTGGACATCACCAGTTTGTTTCAAGCTGGGAATCCGTAACTGCGCTCTTTGCAAAAAGGGAGGCAAGTAGAAAGGCACACGTAAACCCAGTAGCAATCCATGCACTCCTCAGCAGAACTGAAACTCTCTGTGACATCTGAATGCACCCTAGAGATGTCCCCACGTACCTGGAGAAGGATCTTATTCCCATCAGGATCTTCGGTTTGCCATCTGCCTTCACTGATTGGGCTGCAGGAATTGGGCAAGAATGGTACCAGCTGCCCAACATCTCTCACTCGGAACTCCAGCACAGCCGAATCCGTGGGTCGTGGGATGTGGCCTTTCGGAAGCCTTTTCAAGGAAAACTGAATATTTATGTCCACATTAGAATAGATAAGAAATATGCAAAAGTCTGCCCTTTTCTGACAAGCCCGTCTTCTCAGTATTAATTCGTACAGTTTCATAATGTTGTCAAAGTTTTCGTGACTGCAGTAGATGGTAAAGCGTATTATTTCCTTCCCATAATGCACTGGTCGGATGGCCCACAAAGGAGTCCCTTCTGCCAAAGTGAAGAAGTCCTGGCCCCCTGGCATGTAAGGGAGGAAATTGCCATGCACTTGCTCTGTGTGGTGGTAACGCCAAGGCGGCCTTTGAAAGGACTTGTGGAGCTGTCCAATTGGCTCTTCATCTTCCTCTTCTTGAAGAAAGAGAATTACCGCAAGGGCCGGCTGAGAATCGACAACCTTATCGTGTTTCCTAGGCTTCCTCGGCACTCGCCTTTCTGCGACCGGGAACAGCTGGAGATCTGGGTGGATCCACGACAACAGATTATCAATAGCTTGCTGGAGGGCAGATGATTCTTCTGGATCTGCAATTATGTGTGCGCTAACAAGAAAAGGGTCCCGTACATTCCACACAGAAAGCTCACCTGAATGGAGAAAGGGGGGGAAATAGACTTTTCAAAATATTGTGTTTCGAATGGCATTCAGTTACAGCGAGAAATCTTAACATTTAAGGTTTAAAAAAATGAACTGTGTACTGAGACATTCTTTACAGAAGTATGGGTCTGACAGGAAATGCTCAATCCCTTTTCCCCATCATAAATTGCAAAGAACCTTATAAATATTTTGAGGTAGTGTTACCTGTGAGGTTTATTGTCCTTTCTGGCATCACCAGCATACTATAATCAAAATATATTCAGGCCCCGTTCACATGGAGCATTTGCCGCGCTAAAGATACGGATGATAGGTGGATTTTCTGGACGCGATCACACCGCAACATCTGGGAAGTGTAGTGCACCCGTGGCTTCGTGCCAAAGATATGGAGTAAAAAACTAGTACTTACGATGTACTAGTTTCCGGAAAACGCAGGGCAAGGGCGGGCGTCTGATCGTGTCCCGTCCTAGTCCCGTCGCAAACTGGTTAGTTTTTTTTTAAGTCTTCACAGGATGCGCACAAACGATCCTGCGCATGCTCACCTTTTGGTGAGAAAAAAAATATTCCCATTTGCCACAGAAGCGGCGCCTAGCGATTGCTGGTGTGATCGCGCCATGTGATCCGCACCTCACGCCCTAACCACGGGACCTCGATGGGACGTCTGATCGGGCAGCCGTGCGTTATTTTGCTCTGGGGCAAACAGCCACGCTCCCCCCCCCCGCATTTTCCGGCCCGTGTGACCGGGGCCTTAGTTCTACAGTTTATAGTCCCAAAGGTCAGTACAGTAAATACCATCTCTGATAAGCTTCCATGGACAGTTCACTGAAATGGCCACAACCATCTGGTAAAATGCTCAAACCACAAAGCAAGAAACACGACTACTGGCTGCCTGCAAAAGGCGAATGTGACCCCATTGGAGGCAGAATACATGACCTAATCCTCCAGTTTCTGAGCCCTACAGGAAGATCTACTGCTCGGGAGACACTAGTCTTTATGCAGATGATAGCCACTGAGCTCAGAAACATTGAGGACAAGGACACATAACTTTTTGGCCATTGAAAATAACACTGCTCCATGATGAATAGGGTTGCCAGTCTCCAGGTGGTGGCTGGAGATCTCCCATAACGACAACTGGTCTCCAGGTCACAAACATCAGCTCCTCTGGAGAAAATGGCTGCTTTGGAAGGTGGACTCCATGGCATTATACCCCACTGAGGTCCCTTGTTAAATTCAGGACTATTTTTCCCTAC